GTCGCCAAGCATTACTGTTCCGCTTTTCCGCGAAAGGTAAGTGTACTGGTGAAATTACAGACAACATGGGACTTATCAACTTGTATCTCAGAATGATGCTTAGGTATATAACATGGTAAGCAGACAAAGCCACTTCCTGAGATATTGTTTTAAACAAGCCTTCGAGCGCTTGCACACTACGTCCGATTCGTACCAGCGGTGTCTAGTCCCGTTCTCCGTTCGACATCCGTCCGAAACAATTACTGAAATCAAAAGACAATGTCGACTACGAAGCTTCATTCCCATCATGCATCTTGAATTTGGTCAAGTACATAGGGCGCACTATAAGTTTCCGGAACTGGCCACTTACATAAAAAATATTTAAAAAGTAATTACAACATTTGAAAATGGAACTCTTTGGCTGTAGAATACAGTTTGTTTCATCTGAATATCACTTGTTTTTACATTGTGGCGTCATTTTAGAAATTGGTTGTCTAATCTCCATGGGTTTAACTCGTAAATTTTTTTTTGTGATTTTCTACGACTTTAAGTGTAATTTAACAGCTCAACGGAGCTTCGCTCGGCTTCAAACTGCTTTTGGCGATGAAGCACTATGCAAGACGACTATTTATAGCTGGTTTGGCTTTTTATAGATTTAACTCTTTGCACCAACATACAACTGTAGAATATGGACTTCCCAATGTTTCCACCAACATTTTTTCAAGCAGAGGTACTTGATGACAGCCCTTACTTCGTTTTTCTCCATTTCCGTGTTATCTCCTCGACTGCTCGTAGTCAAATGAATGTATCTTCAAAAATGAAGACCTATTTAAATGATTTTCCAAGATGTGGTAAGGGTAGTAGTAAGCAAAACCAGTTTATTTTTAATTTTTATGAGTATTACAAACACTCGATTATCGTTACTTTTGGTCGTAGCTATTCATCTAATTTCTAAGTTACGAACATTTGGGAATATTTTGTAGCAATACCTCTCGCTAACGCTTAACGAAAACATCTTGATGAAGCCTACGTGTCAATGAAGGTTCACAACCTTTGAAAAACATTTGAAAACCCCTATTCGCATTGGACATTATGACTTAACCCTCTAATTAGACGAGGCCCGGCCAAAGAAGGATGAAACAAAAATTTCATTTTTTTTTATTTAGAAGAAGTGGAAATTTGTGTTGATAGTTTAGACAAATATTAAACTTTCATCGAGTGCTTACAAGAATTACATTCGTACTTTAGTTAATGCGTAGGCATTTACTATTGGAATATCATTACTTACAATAATATTAGACTCTATATGGGCAGATGACTTCATAGATTACGACGAATACGGAAACATTTGTTATTTATGGACTTGTTTGTTGATTCTGAGATAAAGATGTTGCGTATATGAAGATTTTCCCCATGTTTGTAATTTATTTTTGGCTTTTGGATCAGTGTCTAATCAGTAGAGAGTATTTTTATATTATTGTACCTGTTTTTTATATTACACCATTGTTTTTGTTACAGCCTGTTCCTTATTTTACCTGTCCTTCCTTTCTTCTTTCCTTAACCTGGCCCTACTGTTATACTTTTTATAATAAACAATTGATACAGAGATTCGAGCCGTTGACCTTTAGATTGAGAAGCATCCGTTCTCCCCCTGGGCTGTTACTCCTCATTAACACCCTGTCCGCCTTGGAATAAAAGGTGAAACGGCATAACATTTGACTTAAAATATACAACAGAGCATCAAAATCACATTCTATAAGCTCCGCAAACCGCGTGCAGATTCTATGAGGTTCTCACTGCATGACGCAACGGTAAAGGTCGCACCGACCTGTTTGCACATCCGACTACCTGCCGACGTTACCCGCATCAGCCGAGACGATTGTAAACAACTTCTTATGTGATTGGGCATTCAAATTATTTCACAAAAGTGGTACTGTGTTATGTAGTATTGGTGGCTATTAGGAGTTCCTTTATAACGAAAAGATTTGGCGTAATTGTACAGAGCCAAGTGCACGTCAACGTTGACTTTAAGATTTAAAATTCTTCTCTATGTCGCTTGCGATAAGCTCGATTCAAAATCCAAAGTATAAGGCTGCTAACAGATTGATTGAATGTTTGCAGTTAATGCGTGAAGGCGTAATCAACTTCATATCAACTATTATTTAGTTTTTAGAGTATTTTCCTGAACGAACTATTTGACAAGGAGCTCTACTGTTACTTATACTGAGTATAGTTGGTTATATTTAGTAACAATATCTATAAAGGATGCGCCTGTCACCCTGAGATAGAATTCCCACGTGCCTGTTTCACGGGTAATGGTCACATTACTTCTTATTGGCAGAAATGAGTGTGGTGTCAACTTCCCTGGACCAACTCTTGACGAGGAACTCTGCTGCTGCTAAAATGGACAATTCTATTCCTCCTTCTCCATTCGCAACCTTTTCACACATGCCTGTTTATTCTTGGTATTTTTAACCTGGCCTTTCTAAGTACATCCCTAATCTGCTCGAGGTATGTACATCGTCTCATAAGTCATATTTCTTTCAACGTAGTAGATACTTGTACCTACGCCTGCGTATATAATATAAAAAGTACAAGCTTAAATTTCGAGAACCTTCCAAAATCTACGTATTTAACCACAAACAACAAATCATGGGATCCTCTCGCAAGTCGTGACTGTCTGTCAGGCGTTGCATCCTCATTCTGTCAGTTTCACTTTAACTACTATAGCTACTTGGAAGGTAACGTATATCTATTCACGCAAATTCTTTGTTTTGCCATCTTTAAAGTACTTTGTTATCGCGATTCAAATGTTTTATTTCATTATTAGTATGAATGCTATGCTTACAAATGTACCTTACACCATTTATTTTGGGCAGGGTATCCTGTAGATCGCTAAAGGTCAGGCAAAAACTAGCGCTTCTAAAATATATTTTTATCTAATTAATCATTCATCGTCAACGAATTTTCATCACAAAATGACATTGAATGGTTTGAATAAACTTGGCACCAACGATGCTTCAAAACTAAAACTGTATCCTCTGATTTAAACTTTCGTACATTATTTGATTTTAAATTCGGGGCTTAATCGTGTAGAAAAACATATTTTATTTAAAGTGCTTCTATTTTCGCAATGTCCCTCAGGAAACTTCGTGTTTCGGCTGTCGTCGTGTTTTATTCCTTTGCACTTTGCCTTTAGTACAAACCGGACGCCTTCAGTCGACTTGGAAGTATATAAATAGTGTTGCTATTACATTTTTTATTTATTATCCAATGGTAGGAAAGCCGCTAAAGTCACAGCCACGACAGATAATTTAGAGCGTGTACTTGTATTTTTACAAGAAGTCGACACGTTTAAAAAAGACAACAATGGTTATTTTCAAAAAGTCCAAAAACGTGTTTCTGTAACTCGTGGTGTTTCAATCGGAACAGTGAAGAATATTTTCAAAGAATATAATTTTCCTTTCCTTTACTTTATATTGTTGTTAACTTGCTCATTGACACGGAGTACATGTTATTGATAATAGTTAAATAGTTTTACAGCTCTATATAGTGCACATGGAAATAAAAAAAAACAGCAATAAAGTACGTTGTTCAAAATTGAAATTATTATAGTTTTTAAAACTAATAATTAATGAGCATGGAAATTAATATTCGTGTGTTCAGAAATCCAATGACATTAAGAAAATAGAAACACTGTACCTCGACGTTCCGGACGTATTGCAACGTCCATAGTCTCGAATGTATGTATATTGAGCAGACCAAACGCATTATAGCGGAAAGAGTCGAGAAACACATGGCGGCTGTTAAGAACCGTCAGCCAATAAGTCTGCTACCTAAAACTCACTACCGTACGTCAGTAGCACTAGAGCTCCTTGTGAAAGAAATAATCTAGCGAAGTACAGCCACCTTACTTATTTCTGCTGCCAAGCGGCAATGTGAGCTTTACTTATCTACTTATGTTACACAGTGACGGGCGCAGTTGCAGTGCAGTGCGGACCATTGCGATTTAAAGCTCTGAGTGGCACTGCAACTGCTTGTATGTCACGGCACTTGGCACCATTAAAAAAATGTTTTATCTCTAGCCAACGAGATCAATCTACTTGAAGACAAAAACATTGACAGAAACTACATGTTGTTTTAATGTTGAATTTTGTTAAAACGTATAAGTACCGTAGTACCGTGGACAGATGCGACAGTCTATGCCTGTTGGGATGAGCAAGGCAGGCAGATATTATTGATGTTATGTTAGGTACTTTTCCTTACGGAAAAGCGAAGATCTTTAGATCACGCAGCCTAGTCTTTTTTTATAACTTATAAATTTATATACAGTAACCATACAAACTGTTTTATTCATATTATACATACTCTGTTATTGTGTAATCAGAACACTCTGTTGCTTATTAATCTATGATATTGTGTATCAAGTGTTGTGTCGGAACCGCCCATCAGTGAAACACAGTGTGTGTATGGAACACCGCATCTAGTACGCTAGTACATGGATATCGTTGTCTCTGGCTAACTACTTTTGCACCTTGTTGTAAAAAGCAACTGTTCACAACAACCTGACGCACGACTTGTTCATACCGGCGCTTGATATTATGAAAATAATTAAACCTTTTTTATAAAAAAAACCGACCTCAAAAGTTCGTAGATCTATTTTAGTTAAGTTTTATTGAAATCGGTTACCGGAACGTGCGGAAACGGTTTCAACCCCTATTTTGGCACACCCAGAGGCGTAATGTTTTCTACAAATTTAAATGGGACCAATACTGAGGTACCCTCCTTCTAATAAAAAAAGAATCATCATAATCGGTTCACAAATGCCGAGTATCACATAACGTACGTACAAAAAAATACAGTCGAATTGGGAACCTCCTCCTTTTTGAAGTCGGTTAAAGAAAGAAAAAATCAGAATCAGAATCAACGCTCTGATCAACATGTTCAGTGTACTCAACAAGGCATACCACGTCTTTAGTAAATATACGAATTAATCTAACTATTATGATTTGGCTTTACAGATGCTGTTCCCCACACTACTAGTGTGTCTCCTGACGTTGGTTGCTGGCGATGTTTCTCACATCCTATCCACTACCACAGAGTCCCCTCCGGCCAAGCCTTACGTCTTCAGCTACACCGCCGGCAGGTACCCTGGACATGCCGACAGGCAGCACACTGAAGTCAGCGATGGCAGTGGCGTTATCAGAGGTTAGTTTTAGGGCCCATAGTATGATGTTTTTCAACACACTTGCACGTAAATAGTATTATTGCATGCAGACTAACTTGACTATAATGCCCCAAATAAAACCCCAAGGCCTAAGGGTTTTATCGTTCGTTCGTAATTCCTTATTTACCGCCCGTAATAATCCAATGTACTGTTATTGTACCAAACCTAGAGACCTGGAATGTTCCATAACATGCCTTTTGATACAAATATAATAATGATAATATAACAACGCACACACTCAACATAGCCCCGCACTCGCGGGTGCCATGGACACATACACAGACAACCAGAAATCACACCCAAACTCACCCGGCCCGGGAATCGAACCTCTGCGTGGCAGTCCAGCATGGTAACCGTTCGACCACAGACGCAATTACGAAATTGTAATTTGTGTTAATGTAATTTTTTTTTATAAAATGTAGTAGTAACCATATAACATTAATACAAGGAATAAGAGAAGTAGGCTGTTCTTGATAGTGACCTTACAAAGTCACAAACTCATTTAAAGGGCAATATATACGTTTCTGTAATAAGATTCCGGTTAATATTTAAAATTTGCCATTTACAAAGTTTAAAGCTATAGGACAAAACTTTATACAAAAATAGTTATTTGTTATGCAAGGCTGCGAAGTTGTGGTTAGCCGCAACTGCTTGTATTGAAACCTGACCAAGCGAAGGAAGCTAAGATTGAACCAAGAGCGAAGCGAGAGCGAGGCTCAAATATAGATTCCTGAGCGTAGCGAGGGTTTCAAGCCAGTAGACGCAAAACTTTGCTGCCGAGCGAAACACACATCTTTTCACCTTACTATAGCGAAGGCAACGGTAGATGAAAGAAAAACAGTTGAACTATAAATAAACAAAACCTTTTTTAATGAAAAGAAAAAGTTTATCTTCGGATGCGTTCTGAATTTACACCTCACCTCCTAATCATTAAGTTTGAAATTATTTAAGTTCTTCGACGAATTAAAATAATTTAATAGACACAATTAATTATCATTGTCAATTTAATGTCAACAGTAACAGGAATAAAACATACCTACGGATTTATGTTACATAAATAAGCAAGTACGACGAATCGCGTAGTTAAACGTGTCATTATCTTTTTTTTTCATCGAAAGAAAATTTTAGGTTACACAAACCTTTTTCACGCTAGCGTGCAAAAAACACTTTTGCGCGCAGATTTGTAATGAGAAAGAAAGCCTTTCCGAGCTAGTGAGGTGAAAATAATATTATACAGTTTCTGTAGATTCGATTACATTTCGATTCTGCGACGTATGCGTCGATAACAACATCCATGTTCGAATTCAGCCAGATCGAAGAATTTTTTTCTAAGTGTTCGATCTTTTTATTAATAATTATGACAAACTAGTGGAGTAATTTCACAAAAAATAATTAAATATCAATGTGGTGAAACCATCCTGAGATTCAATAAATTTAATTACAAAACCATGGTAGTTCAGCTTTCAGCTAATTTCTATCTATGATATTGAAAGTCCCTTAAAGTTTTGTAATAAAGCGTAAAACACACAAAGAGCGGGTGTGAGTCGGGCGCGGGTCGAGTCGGGACCGCGGCGGCAATACACTGGGACGGGCAGACGCGCTCTCTCATTGTTTCACGCTTTATTCTTCTCAGGGGAATCTGCCATACAAATGGGCTGTTGTATTTTATCAACGTGACGATTTTAAGTGTAATTTGGTTATCTAAGAGTGGCCGCCGACTTTTAGCAGTGACGCGGATGCGCGCTCGTGAAACGCGTCATTGCATCGCTACACTTGCGATTTACAGACGATTAGCGACTGCATCGCTACAGTATCCCGTTGGCATCGCTGCTTGAACGTGTAACAGCTTTAAGAAGTAGATATTTTGAATTTGAATTGAAAAACGGACTACATCGTTTCCTTTCATTAACATTGCTTTCCCCAATGCCAGGCAAATACGCTTACCTGGATCCTCGCAACAAGCTCCGCACCGTTGACTACATAGCAGACAAACAGGGCTTCCATCCGTTCCTCAACGAAGAGCCCCCCGCGCACCCGTCGGACTCTGAAGCTGTCGCAAGGGCGAAGGATCGCCATTACCAGCTGTATAACAAGATCGCTGAGGAACATCAGCAACATCCACATCCTAATGCTGGTGAGTTAATTTTCTTTTTATCGTTTCGACTATCTAACAAAGACTGATAAAGATGAGAAAAGCTAAAGACCGCGTAATTGAGGGCATCATCGCGCTGGAAGTCGTCTACATATTAACCAGTAACGACTAACAATGGTTTAGTCTACAAACCAGAAGCCTTTTCCTGTCACGTATTGCTAACTCTGCGTAATATGCGCATTTAAAGTGCACTCATTACTTCTGATGTTTCCGTTAATAGCTCAGGGACGCCGATCGTATTTCTTATACTATGACCACGGGACGCTGACGAATTACAGATACATGGGACTTGTCAACTTACGTCTCAGGGTGACGGGCGCAGTGGTAGTGCCCATCAGGTCTTTGAAATTGCATGCACTGTAACTGTTATGGAGGAGGCGTGTAGCTTTCCATCACGCGCACGACTTATTCGTCCCGTCACTTGATGTTATCAAAAAACAAACATACAGAGAGGTCGGGAACATTTAATAAGAATAATAAAAAGATTTATTGTCTCAATAACGATACAAAAACATAAGGTACAAACATCTTATATAGAGGTCTGAGGCAAAAGGCTATGGCTCAGCTCCGTAAGCCTTGCTGAACATTGGTCATTTCCATTCCCCCTTTCCCTGAGATCTAGAACGGGACATACAGTAATAGGACGAGGTATAGCAACTAAAAGAAACACTTATATACAATACTAAACAGTATGAAATAAAAAAGTATACAGGGTGTAAATTTGAGACGGGGCAGCAAGGTCAGCCACCTTAATCGTTGTAGTTACAGGAAAACGGTTCTAGAAGACTATCCATTAATTTTGAAGATATTTTGATTGGCATTCACAGATTTCGAAAAAATGGTATGTCAGCAAGATAAAATGCAATTTTTACAAAACTTTTTTATGCCATTCGACCCGCTCTCCATTAAGAATCAATAGTCTCTATGGGACCAACTGAGGTAAGAGTACTCGAAATGTCATAAATTACAAAAAACCTTTTACCTTACATTTTGTATTGCTGCCCCGTCTCAAATGTACACCCTGTATATTAGTGGCATGTGTTCGTATGTGTGCGCGTGTGGATGTATTTATCTGTGATGGGAAGTTATAAGTGAATGAGAATGAGGATGTCCGTTTTAGTTTACAAAAAGTTTTTTAAAATGAGACCTTTCCAGCAAGCGTGATTCAAATACGCCTCAACAATTTGTTTTTTTTATCAAAGTCATTTTATATTTAATTTTTAAATGTTGTTGACTTGTTTTGTTGTTAGAGCGAGTTGAGGTCAAAGTCGCAGGTTGCACATCGAAATAAAGAAACGCAACAGAATCTTAGATCTAAAGTCGCAAACTGAAGGATAAGTGGTGGAGAGAAAAAGCTGCTGAACTGCAGCACTGCGCCGATACTCACCAGACTAGCAAGTTCTTCAAGGGCGTTCAAGCTGTTTTTGGTCCAAGAACAAGAAAAATAGCATCAATGTACACAAAAGACAGGCTCCGAGTTACAAGTAAAACTGACGTAATAATGCGGTGGGCAGAACATTTTAACGATGTCTTAAATCCCGATGTACTCAACGCTGACATGTCGTACATAAACACTCTTCATGAATTGCCAGTTTGTCAAAGTTTAGATGACCCGCCTACTTTTGAAGAATTTGTGGAAGCAGTTAAACATCTCAAAAACTCCAAAACACCATTTGGCATGGACCAACTTCCAGCGGAAATTTATAAATACAGTGAAAAAACCATTGCAAATAGGCTCTACCATCTAGTCACAAGAGTGTGGGAAAACGAAGAAATTCCGCAGGACTGGAGGGATGCTGTAATCCGCAAGCTGTACAAAGAGAAGGGAGATGTTCCTATAGCAGCTCCTATCGCGGCTTATCACTTCTTTCTAGTGCCGGTAAAACTCTTGCACACGTAATCAACTGCCGTCTTAGCAAACTAGCTGAAAAATACCTGCCCGAGAGTCAATGTGGCTTTCGTCCGGGCAGAGGTACTAACGATGCCATACTAGTCGTAGAACAACTCCAGAAGAAAAGCTTGGAACATCAAAGGCCTCTCTACACATGCTTTGTCGATCTAAAAAAGCATTTGATAAAGTCCCACGTGAGGCCCTTTGGCTTGTTCTCCTAAAGTCTGGGTGCCCAAGAAAGTTTATCAACCTCATACGCCAATTTCATGTTGGCATGAATGCACAGGTTCAACACGAAAACGAACTTTTTGAGAAAATCCAAATTACAAGTGGAGTAAAACAAGGTGGCGTCATGGCACCCACACTCTTTGCCATATATTTCGCAGTTGTTATAAGAGATGCCCTACAATGCTGTAGTAATCAGGTTCGGACTGATATAGGTATATTCAATATATCTAGGCTTAGAGCAAACTGCCACAGATCTCCATTCTGGAGATACTTTACGCTGACGACGTGTGCCTCATGTCCGACAGCATGGCTGTGTTGATGCACTACATCAATCCTGTCAACGATTTGGATTAGTTATAAGCTCTTCCAAGACGCAAATCCTCAAACAACCACCACGAGGCTGCGAAGCTGATAAGACCGTACTGAACCTAGAGGAAAAACCACTAGAGGAAGTAATACAGTTTAAATATCTTGGAAGCAACATACGGCATGATAATACGTTGGCTTCGGAGATATCATCGCGCATTGCAAATGCCGCTGCGAACTTTGGACGGCTTAGTAACCGTGTCTGGAAATCCCATGATCTGAAGCTAGAGACAAAGGTTAGTGTTTACAGGGCATTAATCTTACCGGTCCTTCTTTATATCGCAGAAACATGGTGCATCTACAAACCAGACATTAGGAAACTTGACACATTTCATCTACGATGTCTCAGATCAATCCAGAACATTAAGTCGCAAGATCGTGTCCCTAATACGGAGATCCTGCATCGATGCGGCATGTATGGCATAGAAGCTTTAATAATACAGTGTCAACTCAGGTGGTTCGGTCACGTCCTTCGCATGGAGGATCACCGTTTGCCAAAAGTTATATTCTACTCGGAGATGGCGGAAGGCAAACGGAAGCATGGTGGTCAACATCTTCGCTATAGGGATGTGCTCAAGAGACATCTACTCGCTTGCGCTATTAATCCATCAGGTTGGGAGGGGCTCGCTTCGCATAGGTTGTCTTGACGGTCTACTATCCATAAATGTAAAAACATTCGAACATAAGAACAAAAACGAATCGAAACTTTAAACGAAAAGTCCTCTTATAGATAATATACTTTCAACTCTGCTGGTCAACTTTACTGCTCTGTTTGTGATCGGGCATTTAAGACAAAATTCGGTATGACAAATCGTATTAGGGCGCACGCTAGGAAATAATCTCAGAGGGTCTCTGTTATCGAAATCGATAAGGAGGACTATATATAATGTTCGAGTTCTGCACCCTACCATATTGAAACCGGGTGTGGGAAGACGTTGGTTCGAATCCAGATACAATGATTTTTTTCTAAGTGTTCCATCCTTTATTAATAATTTATAAGAAACCAATGGAGTAATTTCAAAAAAATAATTGAATTTCATTGTGGTCAAACATTGTGACATCGAAAAACTTAAACAAAACAAATTATAACTGTATGAATTTTCAGAAGTAGCAACTCCACGCCAGTCAGCAGCGGTCGCAGCCGCTGCAGCGAAACACGCCCAGCTGTTCCGCGTCATCGCAGAGCAGCACGCGAGGATCGCAGCCGAGAGAGAAGCACTACAAAGGGAGGAAGAGGAGAAACAGCACCTGCAGGAGCTACAACAGCAGCCTGATTATTCGTAGATGCAAAAACGCACACTGGCATAAATTTAAACCGTTATTTTTTATATAGACAATTCGAAGTCAAAGTATCAGTGTGTGAATATAAGGTTTGATTTTTCGACGTGGAATTCTACAATCTGTGTGCATCAGTGTGTGGTGCGACTATGGTACATCACATTTCAGGGGCCATCTATCTGTAAATTACGTTTATAGTGCAAATTCGCACTCTTAGTGTAAAAAAGCCTCAATCTGCAAAATTACAACTTTTCAGGAAAGTGGCATAAAGGTTCTACGAAGGAAATTGTACGATAACTTTTTTATGCTTCTATTTTTATAATATTTATGTGATAAAAAGACTTTAACTTACGATCACAAGTGGCTTTGTCATACCAATGATGCAAATCGTTATTGTCTCAAAATTCCATTAAAAAAGTATCACAAAGTACTTTGAGGATAGGCCCTGAGAAGCCTTTGTAGTTAATAACCAAGCTAAGTCCCAAATAACAAGCACGTAAAAAGCTTTGCAAGTCCTTGAACAACTCTTGGAAAGCGAAAAATGTAGAAAACCTTCGCAATACTTTTCACTTGTCCTAAATTACATTTACACTATATAAGTTTTAAGATAAGTATTCAAAAATGTTAAATCAAATATTTTCAACCAGTATAAAGCCGACCGGCGGCGGTCATGCGAAAATATGACCTATCACGTTGTAACAGACATATTGCACAGTTAATAATAACATGGATCACAAAATCTGTAAAGTAACGTTTACGAAACTCGCTACATAAAAAAGTAACGTACATACGCAAAATATGACAAAATTTTATATGACTTGAAAAATTTTTGTTTTATTTGGTAATTTTTAAATTTATTTTGTCATTATTTCCCCAAAAATATTACTTCTCGAATTACGCCATGCATTATTATGAGTGGGACATATAAGTTAAAATCGAACAGAGTGGAGCAATTTCCCGTTGCGGTCATGATATGTCAATAAAATATGATAGCTCATAGTTTTCTTTACGACTCCCGCGCCGGTTGATCAAAGTTTATTAGCGTGAAAACGCAATCGAAAATACTCTTACATTTGCCATACGTTCATGTGTATAGCTTTAACAAATTAGTAATGATTTTTTATGTTTGTATTTTTTTATAAAAATCGCCATATTGAAAAAAAATAAATCTATATATTTAAAAACATTGTTGTTTCTTTAAGTCTTTCCGAATAATCTCACCTGATGTTTAGCAACGATGTGATCGGCGACGGTAAGCATTTATCTCAAAAAAGTCTATTCATTCTAACCTTGAATAGAATTCAAGTTTTATTATTATTATTTAAAAAATCCAATGCAATAGACCAGCATACTTCGATCGTGTATGGAGTACTGCTGCCACCTTTGGGACGGCTCTGCCCATTACCAGTTAGCTGCCTTGGACTCGGTGGCGCGAAAAGCAAAGAGACTTATTAACAATAATTCTCTTGTGGAGTCAAAGCTTCAAAATCTCGACCATCGCAGAGAAGTAGCCTGCTTGTCGGTTTGCTATCGGATACATTTCGGAGAGAGTGCGCAGGAACTTTTCAATTTAGTTCCACCCTCACCGTTCCTCCATCGGTAGAACTAGAAAGTCCGGAACATTCCATCCTTATGTCGTTGATATACCACCAATTCGCACTAAGCGCTTTGCTTCCTCCTTTCTGATGTATTCGGCATCTGTGTTTCCCGAAAAAGACAATTTGGGCCTATTCAAGACTAAAGTAAATAGGCATTTTTTACGCAAACGCGTACACATCTTTACTTAACATTAGGTGAGATTGTGACCAAGCGTGTGTCTATTATTTATAAAAAAAGATTGGTGTGTTCCGGACTTCTGAAACGGACGGTGGATCTAAATTGTAAACTAAGAAGTTTGGATAACTTTAGTGAAAACATTATTATATTCAAATACTCAAACGCAGCCCAACTCTATTTGGTAATGGTTGGAGTCTTACCGAAGGCAAAAGTTCCCCTCCATCCTCTTGGATGACCGAAGAAATCCAAACGAAGAAAATAATAATAAAAGTATTTTTTTATATTTAAGTCGTGCACCTGATGGTAAGCGACACGCCTGTCCATAACAGTTGCAGTACCATTCAGAGGTTTAAATCGCAAAGATTTGACGGGCACTGCACTGCGCCCGTCGCCCTGAGACATAAGTAGACAAGGCCCATGTGTCTGTAATTTCACCAAAACCGTATCCGATAGAGAACCAATGTTGTCGTTATTTCTGGTAAAATAAGCAAAATGTACTGATAACCAATGGGAGAAACTAGTTCTTGAGACCACAGCTCAACAAACGTAGTATAGGACCTATCTATCTGCGAAAGGCAGTAGATGAATGCGACAAGCTGAAGAGCGGGCCAAATTGGGAGAGGTCTATGTCCAGTTGTAGACTACGATAGGCTGATGTTGATGAAGAAAAATATTTAAGGAGCCATACAGGCTAAAGCACATCCCAGATCCCTGAACACAGATCCCAGTGAACTCCCGTATATAACCAGTTGAATAATGTGTTTTAGGGTTCTCATTACGTCGTTTTATTTCGTCGGCTTATTTGCAAGAAGTCCGACGATTTATCGTAGGACGACTGACGCAGCTTGCCTGTTCGCATATCATGATTATCTGTCGTGGCTGTGTCGTGGACATTTATTTTATCATTGAACGACTGTCGTATCTAGCTATTCCCACTAGATCGTGGCGACAATTTATCGATTTACGGCAGCCGCCTTCTCGTTTGCACAACAGAATCGTTTGAAGCTGCGATTGTCTGTCGTCACATTTTTATCATGACGTTTTATTTATCACCGGACGACTGTCGTTCTAGCTCTTCTTATTGTCACGACAGTCTGTCATCGTAACGTAAAAAAAGTCGTGAGCGACAGTTAATCACATTGTTCTATGTGTGAACAAGTACATTTAAATATACAAGCCACGACACTTTAAACTGCACGACTATCTATCGTCACGACAGTAATGGGAACGCAAAGCAGATTCGGGTAAAAATTGGAACTTACCACGACCGTGGATACCAGGCCATGATAACAAAAAGGAGCGCTTTTTTAAAATCTTCAAGTTGCTAACAACGTACGTATGTACCAACTGTTTATTCAACAACAAATTATTGCAACTATTCTCTACAGGAAATTATGAAAAATTATTGTTCTTTACTACACTTACAATGCATACATAATTATCATTACACGCTTCATCGTAAAGTGCTGTTAAGTATGCAATATGCTCAAGCGTCATACATAATGCGTTTTTTTTGCAATAATGCTATTGTCGACATAGTTATAGCTACGTACGTGTAACAGGGCATTGCGTATACTGGATGTAACAAAAAGGCACAATAATATAGGGTATTGAAGTCAGTATTTATTTACAAAGAATAAATTGTAGTAGAAGATTCTTCTTATGATAAAGTTCGTCCAGGAAAGTACTGCCACCTTATCAAGCAAATTACTCTAGTACTGGTCATTCGTAATAGATTCCCCTGTTGAGAATAAGCAAGAAAGTCTAGGAGTTGCTCCATGTAAATATAGATTTGAATGCATTTATCATTAACAATATTTATTTCAAACATCTTATATCGACAATAGCTGCAAGAGCAAAAAGGGTCACTACCACTGATTTTTGTCATCCAAGTAAGCAGAAGCTGTAGAATAATAACCTTTAGAACACAATTTTTGTTTTACTATTGTTTTAAACCTCGTACTCAAATGGCAAATTTTGAATATCAACCGGAATCGTATTACAGAAGCGTATATTTGTGACTTGTGAAAACGACTGTGAAGAACAGCTAGTTTATTTTTATTCCTAGTATTAATTATTTTGTTTCAATATTTTCCATGGAAATATTACTATTCCTTTAGACATAAATTATATTTTCATAAATATACTAGACGCTAGTGTAAGAATGTTAATCTCTTTAAAGTTGTCTAATAACCTTTAGTATAAAGGTTTTGTTTTACTATAGTTTTAAACCTCGAGAAAGGCAAATTTTGTATATCAACCGGAATTTTGTTATAGAAGCGTATACATTGCCCCTTAAATGATTTTTTGATTTTGTGAAGACGACTATCAAGAAAAGCTAGTTTATTTCTATTCCTCGTATTAATGTTATGTCTGTCACTATTTTTCATAAATAAATTACTATTCCTTTTAACATAAATTACATTTTCATAAATGTACTGTGAGGTTAGTATAAGAATGTTAATTTCCTTAAACTTATCTCTCAAAGACACTGGGGCCCTGATTGTAAATTGTCCTAACCGCACGTTTCTGCAGTACACAGTTCTATTAATATCGGCGGCATTACCCCTAAGCAAAATGGCGTATGACATTAAATTGTAAAATTGTGAGCATTTCTGAGTTTCAGTTTTGAAGGGTGCTGGAGAAACCACACACATGGAACTTGTCAACTTATGTCTCAAGGTCACGGGCGCAGTACCAGTGCTCCTTAGATCTTTATGCTTTAAAGCTCTGAATGGCACTGCAACTGTTATGGACAGGCGCGTCGCTTCCCACCAGGTGCACGACATGTTTGTCCCATTATCGTTAGTTGGTATCTTAAAAAACTTACATTTTTTTGAACTCAAATGATTTTTTTGTCTTTAACTAACTATAATTGCACCTTGTTGTAAAAGGCGTTTAAAAAAGTACTGATAAAATTACAAAAAAAAAAAAATTTCATGAATTTATTGGTAAATCTATATAATCTTCATTTTGTGTTGATTCATCGACAGAACTTTAACCGGTGGCATCTGTAAACAAAAACGCTCAATTAACTATTACAATCATAAAGCCCCTTTTTTTTAGTCAGAAGGTTAAATAAGCAACGTCCGGATTTAAAATTTTATTACCCCTATACAAAAATACTGAAAAGTGAAAATTGTACTTAAGAGCATCAATTGTGGTTAACTTAAGCAGTTTAGTTCAAGACTCACTAGCGGGTGGTGGTGGGGGTGGGGGTCCTGGAGGTCCACCACCGGGTGGTCCACCGTGGCAGCCAGCCGGTTCGTTCGCCTGCAACGATGCCACTCCTGCGTGACTCATGCCGCTCTGGAATGTATAATCATCATTATGAACAGCTAAGAAGATGCCCTGTTCTACAAAGATGCCACTTGTTCGTCGATTGCAAGCAATCGTTTGGACACCGCCATACAGCCATCGGCTATAAACAATAAAGCGCTGGTTAGCTTAAAAATATTGCATTATCGAGTTCTTAGGTTTTCGCGATTGTTACACATATGAAATTAAACTATTTTTCCGGATTTAAATTGTACCCGCGTCAAAGAACATATAGCTGATGTCAAACACCGTCGCGTAAACAAGTCTGCAGTCTGCGAGCATGTCATGGATAAACCTACACATACAAAAGAAGTCCGTTATGCCGTAGTCCAGGATGCTGCGAGAGGCCATTGAAATTAAAAAACATCCTAATTTCAACAGGGAAGATGGTTTCTCCGTACCACCAGTTTGGGATCCAGTATTTCCGCTAATGAAAAATCCCAAACAGACATAAGACTGCAGTACTAATTAATACTTAATACTAATCAATACTTTATTCTAATTTCTATTAATAATTAATAATAAATTAAACATAATAAAAATTCATTCAATAAAATAATTTGTAAATTTAATGTAACGTAAATTGGAATGTTTTCTTTGTAAAATTAAAAATAAGGTATTTAATTAATAACTATTGTAACTATAGTGAAAAAATAGGGTGGTTTGCATTAATATTAGACATAACTGGTTGAAGACTATACCACCTCAGTCAACCGTGACCATGGGACCTGTAAAGGGCCCGAAACGTCGGTTTGTTTGAAAAAACAAATATTGCATTACTTTGAAATAGTCAAAATCGTTTATTTGTTAGGATACATTTAACAACCGGGCGGCGTCGTGGTGAATGTTCACTGATCCCACGGCGCCGACTCAACCGGCGAGAGGGAAACCCGGGGGGGTTTTAGTGGGGTAG